ACTCAACGATAAATTCCGCCATCGGCATGTTTTCCTTTCTTCAGTAAGACTCAAATTTTGAATAGGCATCGTACGCAAGATCGACTGTTTCTTTCATAAATAAAGAATCCAGTTCTCTAAGCAAAATATCCAAACCATCTTCCTTATTAAGCTCACTTACTTCTATATCAAGCGCCTTCGCTTTGGCTTGGCCAGTGAGTGACAGAGTTACCGCTAACGCCTGTTTCTTTTTCTCGATGTCGGTCATCAGTCTCCATATTTTAACTTCATTTTTCCATGTTTCGTAAACCGCATCGGAAGCAAACACGGGTGGATTCTTGTAATTATTTGCCATGTTTATGCTCTGCTACCATTTAATAAGTCATTAATACCGAGAATAACACGGAAATATAACGCAACTCACCAAAAACAAATATGGCGCCACACACACTAACATAACGACTCCAGTCCGACCCGAACGTCTTCGGAAAGCTCCGGAAATAAGGGACGTCCCATAGATAAAGTTCGCAGGGGGAAAAAGGTAAACCATAGTTATCAAAGTAAGAATTAGGTCAAAGCCAATTATGTGGTAATGAGTATAATTAGCAAAGATTTAATGTTTGAAGATTAGCCGTAGTATATCATAGATAATTTGTGATTTTTATTAGGAGCTTTTGAGCATTGCTTAATCGCTTCCAGAATTACTGTGCTTGAATTAAGTTTCCTATACAGAGTACTATAGCTTTCTTGGTAGCTATGGGGGTAACCATGGAGAAATTAATAAGTTAACTAATTAGACATATGATAATAGTGTATTGACGTAGGTTTCTTTATTTTTTAGTTTTATTGTTATTGATAATCACGCACAATTATCCAGATTTTCAAAGTTATAAGCACATTCCAGGCAATTTTCCCACTTTTTCAGAAACAATGGGCTGAGCTGTGTTTCACTCCATATAGGGATCGGGGGGGAGGGGGATTTTAGAATCATTAATACCTGTCGAAAAGTACACCGTCATCAGATGATGAACTCCTTGACCTATGGGGTACGTCCAAGAGTGAATTTACCCCCAGTAAAGATACTAACTTAGCTTGCAGTTTTGAATTAGTCAGCAGATAGTTCCCAGACAGTGTCGACAGTGTTTTGGGACAGCTCTGTGAGGAGCAGTTGCATTCCTGCTTAAACCAGGAGTTAGCTGGAATGTGGTTCTCATATTCAGAGAGCTTATAGGAGGAACTCAGAGAACTTTGTTTCCGGGAAATCGGACTAGAATCAACGTTTCCAGCTGTATTTCAAGATTTCCTATGCAACGGGAGTGGGTGAATCTCACCCTGAACTTTTGGTGACACTGTGGTGACATCAGTTCTCATCCATCAAAAGAACCGCTGACTAGTGACATCTGTTGGTAGCTGTAACTAAGCTAATATAGG